TAGCGGTAGTGGTAGTGGTAGTGGTCGTTGTAGTAGTAGTAGCAGTAGTAGTAGAAGAAGTAGTAGTAGTAGTAGTAGTAGGGGGTAGGGAATAGGGAGGGCGGAGTAGGAGTAGGAGCAGGAGTAGCAGTACGTCGTAGTGGTTGTAGCAGTCGTAGTAGTCGGTCTAGTGGTCAGTAGTCGTAGAAGTGGTGGTGATACCGCCGACAGTTGCATGAGGTTTCGGCTGTCAGTTGGGGGTGCAGAAACCAGGGCTCGTACAAGCAGATTCAGGTTGGCAGCCCTGAATAACCCCTCGGCCTACGCCACCAGCCGCTCCTAAGACGGCAGCCAGAAAGCGGAGTTGCTGGCCTCTGAGATCTTCCTCTCCATGACGAGGCCCCTGTGCCTGCAAAAAGCTAGGTGAACTGGTGAACTGACCCCCTAAACTCGGAAGACCCCAATGCGCCCTCCCATCCCCTCCCATAAAAACCCTCAACAATTCCGAAGGCCCCAACCCAACCTCAGGAGATGCGAGCTACTCAGGGAGCTCGTGGAGCAGGAAGGGCCGGAAGCCGAGGTAGGCCCGAAGATGAAGGGTTTGGATAAACAAGTGTCGAGGTTTGCTGTTCGGGTTGCTCCGGTGCTTGTCTCGTTTGGTAAACCGGGACTTCGGGATTTCAGCGTTTTGGGGGGATTTTGAATGATTTTTAGGGTGGAACTTAACGGCTTTAGGCTAGTGACTAGTGGGCTGACAGTCCCCAAGCCCTGCGCAAACACACATGGTCTTAACGGTTTTCCGAGAAATAGCCTCCAGGTCCTTGGACCCCACGTCTTGCGCAAAGCAAGCAAGCCCTAAACCCAGCCCTGACCCTGAAGCCTCTGACCCGAAACCCCGAACTCCCGAACCCTGAGACCCTGACACCTTCAAAGCCCAGACAACAAACAAGAGGCCGCCTGCCACGTCCTAGATTATGAGCTGCAGCATGGCACACAGCTCCTGGGCTACTTTTGCTTGGCTGATTGTAGCATGCAAGACATGGCTTACACTGTATTGGTATGTAGTGGGACACTATGTCTCAGGATAGGATAGGCTGACGTAAGCAGTGCAGCGTAGTTGGCTATCGGGCAGTTTCGTCCTCGGGGTATCGACATCTGCGCATGCTATGTGGGATGCGTGCGATCACATGTAGATGAATTCTTGAAAAGTACATGCAACTGAAATGCAGATGCAGCCACACATAGGGTACGGCTGCGACTACAGTAAAGCACGGGCATAGAAGATGCAGGAAATGTATGTATGTATGTATGTATGTATGTATGTATGTATGTATGTATGTATGTAGGTAAGTCTGTGCCTGTGTTATGTTATGTTATGTTATGT